GCAAACGCATCAGGAAGAAAGCAGCTTCCCTCATGCAACTTAGACAAGGGCAAAATAAGACCCTACGTGACTTCATGACCAGGTTCAACAAGGAAAGACTTCAGATTCCCGACCTACACATAACTGCAGCAGTTTCTGCCCTCACATATGCCATAAAGTGCGAAGCTTTCAAGATGTCCTTATCCAAAACTCCGCCGAAGACAGTCATCGAGCTTCTTACCCGAGCTGAGAAGTACATAAATATGGAGGAAATGCTGAACCCGAGAAAGGTTGGACCATCCCATGACAGGGTCGAGCATAAGAGACAGCATGACCCGACCCCTCGTGAAGAACAGCATCGGAAAAAACAGAGACAGGAGGTTCTCCCGACGCCGTTCACACGTTTAAATACGTCAAAAACCAATATATTGATGGAGATCAAGGATATGAAGGAATTGAAGTGGCCTGTCAGAATGAGGTCACCACCCGAATCCAGGGACATGAACAAGTACTGTGAGTTCCATCGGGATCATGGGCATACCACGGAGAACTGTAAGGCCCTGCAACGGGAGATTGAAGCCCTTATTAAAAGAGGACTCTTGAGTTCCTACGTCGGTAACGACAAACGGCCGAGGAACGATCGTGGTAGGGAAAAAGTCCCTGAGGCAAAAAGGGATGGTCAACCCACTGCTGGAACCATCAATATCATCATTGGAGGTATTGCCTCGGGAGGAGACTCCAACAGTGGAAGAAAACAATATGCTCGACGATATGTCTTGGCCTCTAGGATGCCCCATGGAAAGCTGGAGGATATTACTTTTGAGACCAGACAGCTGCCAGACAATGCTATGTTGCCAGTGTTCGGGAAATAAATAACGACGTCATGCAAATCTCGAGGATTGATCCTGAGGACGGGCAACAAGTCAGACTCGCTCCTGTCGAAGAATTGATGGAAATTGAGCTCGAGCACGATAAGGAGGTGACGATTGGTCGGGATCTTGACGTCACCCTGAAGACAGAACTTGTTAGTTGTTTATCTCGCAACATTGACGTTTTTGCCTGGACGGTTGAGGATATGTCAGAGATAGACCCTAAAATTGCAGTCCATAGGCTTAATATTAGCCCAGGGGCCAGGCCAGTAAAACAGAGGAAAAGACAGTTCGCCCCAGAACGTCGGGAGGTCATCCGCGAAGAAATTAACAAACTTGTCAGTGCTCGGTTTATTCGGGAGGTTCAATATCCCGACTGGCTTGCCAATGTTGTTTTAGTAAAGAAGGCCAATGGTAAGTGGAGGGTCTGCATTGACTTCACAGATCTTAACAAAGCATGTCCAAAGGATAGTTATCCCCTACCACGGATTGACAACTTGGTGGATAGCACGTCCGGACATAAGTTGTACAGCTTCTTGGATGCATTTTCTGGTTATCATCAAATCCTCATGGCCGAAGAGGATCAAGAAAAGACATCATTCATGGCCGTTTCAGCCATTTACTGTTATAAGGTCATGCCTTTCGGTTTGAAGAATGCAGGGGCAACATACCAAAGACTCATCAACAAAGTCTTTGCTAACTTGATTGGAAGGAATGTAGAGGCGTACGTTGATGACATGGTGGTCAAGAGCAAACAGGTGGACCAACATATTTCAGATCTTGAAGAAGTGTTCAACACCTTGCGAAAGTACGGAATGAAGTTGAACCCCGCAAAATGTGCATTTAGCGTGGCCTCGGGCAAGTTCTTGGGCTTCATGATCACTCACCGGGGGATAGAGGCCAACCCTGACAAAATACAAGCAGTAGCGTCTATGGAATCACCAAGGAACAAGAAAGAGGTACAGATGTTGAATGGTAGGATAGCAGCCTTGAACAGGTTCATGTCCCGAGCATCAGACAGGTGCTATCCCTTCTTCAAAGTCCTCAGAGGAAACCAAGGCTTTGATTGGAGTGAAGACTGTGAGAAAGCTTTTCAAGAGCTCAAACAGACATTAGCATCTCCTCCAATTCTCACTAGGCCTGAGCCTGGTGACACCTTATTTTTGTACTTGGCCGTATCTCAAAACGCTGTTAGCGGGGTCTTGGTGAAAGAGGTTAACAAAGTCCAGCAACCTATCTGCTATGTAAGCAAGGTCCTACTGGACGCGGAAACCAGGTATACTTTGGCGGAACAACTTGCCCTTGCCTTGGTTATAGCAGCAAGGAAACTCCGGCAGTATTTTTAGTCTCACCCTATTGTGGTGCTCACTAATCAACCACTTAGGCATATACTTCAGAAGCCGGACGTATCAGGAAGACTGATGAAATGGGCAATCGAGCTTGGAGAATTTGGCATAGAATTCAAACCACGCCCATCTATCAAAGCCCAAGCTCTGGCCGACTTCATTGCAGAACTAACCCCTAGGCCTCGGGGGCCAGGTGACAGATCAAGCATGAGCACTAATTTGGACACTTGGCAAATATTTGTGGATGGAGCATCGAACTCCTCGGGCTCGGGCGCAGGGGTCATCATCATCAGCCCTGACAAACAAACGGAGATCCAATGCGCTCTCAGGTTGGAGTTTGAAGCAACCAACAACGAGGCCGAGTATGAGGCCGTCGTTATTGCTCTTGAGCTAGCCCTTTACCTAGAGCTCGAGTTCGTAAAGGTATTCAGTGATTCACAGCTAGTGGTCGGACAGATTGAAGGATCATTTGAAAGGAAGGAAGAGAAAATGAGTTTGTACTGTATGAAGGTTCAGGACCTTCAGCGAAAATTCAAGAGCTGTGAAATTACAAAAATTGCTCGAAAGGACAACGGAAAAGCCGATGCATTATCCAGGCTTATGTTCATGGGGGTAGACGGCCTTGACAGAACGGTTCACATTAAAATCATCACAGAACCCAGCATCAGTCAAATCCTCGACATCATGGACATTGACAACGAACCATCCTGGATGGACCCGATCATAGAATTCATCACAAACGGAAGTCTACCAAGCGATGGCAGGTTGGCCAGAAGCATCAGAGCCCGAGCTCCTAGGTACTGCATGATCAGCGGTGTCCTTTTTCGTAGAAGTATTACTCTTTTGTACCTAAGGTGTCTCAGGCCATCAGAATCATCCCAGGCCCTTGCTGAAGTTCATGAAGGCGCGTGCGGGAATCATCAAGGAGCCAGGGCTTTGGCCTTTAAACTCGTACGATATGGATACTACTGGCCAACTATGAAAAAAGACGCCTCAGAATATGTTAAAAATTGTGATAAGTGCAAGAGGTTTGGCAATGTTATCCACTCACCAGTCGAAGACCTCACCAACATTAACTGTTCGGCCCCGTTTGAACAATGGGGAGTTGACATCCTCGGCCCCTTTCCTGTGGCAAGAGGTCAATTAAAGTTTGTTGCTATAGCAGTAGAGTACTTCACAAAATGGGTAGAGGCCGAACCTCTCGCCACTATATCGGAGCCCAAGCTAAGAGCCTTCACTTGGAGGTCTATCATTTGCAGGTTTGGGATACCAAAGGTCCTCATCACCGACAACGGCAGGCAATTTGACAACCAACAATTTAGAAACTTTTGCTCAAACCTTGGGATTGATCACCGTCATACATCAGTTTCGCATCCTCAGAGCAACGGTCTGGCCGAGGTAACAAATCGAATCATATTGCAAGACCTCCAAACAAGAATAAGCGATGCTAGGGGTTCTTGGTCCGACGAGCTGCCTTCTATACTTTGGACGTACAGAACAACTCATAGGACAACCACAGGAGAAACCCCTTTTATGTTAGCCTATGGCGTTGAAGCGATGGTCCCAGTGGAAATTAGACTGCCAAGCCATAGGAGGCTCGTGCCAGAAACCTCGGAGCATACAACTGAACATCTTGATCTCTTGGAAGAAGTACGGGAGCAAGCCGCTATAAAAGTGGCCTCTTACCAAACTAGGACAGCAAAATATTTTAATAGCAAAGTCAAGGCTCGGAGGTTCAGAGCTGACGATTTGGTCTTGAGGAGGGCCGAAGCAGCAGGCCACCCCCCAGGGAAGCTCGGGCCCATCTGGGAAGGGCCCTTTGAGGTCATACGACAGGTTCGCAAAGGAGCATACAGCCTAAGAGACACTTCGGGTAGACCTCTTCCGAGGCCCTGGAATGCCGACAATCTAAAAGTATATTACAAGTAAAATTCCCGACGCCTTTTAGGAGATTTTCTTTTTCTGCATTTTATTTCTAGTTTAGCGGGTCTGCGTGCCCATGCATGTTTTCTGTTTTGTAATGAATTACGTTCGGCTTGATCCCATTTGGGTACGTAGGCAGCTTGGGTACAATATAAATCCAAGTCCAGTCCGAAAAATTAGTAAATTCAAGCTTCAGGTATGACAGCCCTTTGAGCAAAAAGCCTTGCCCCGCGCAAGCACCCAGAAGAGCCTTGCCCCAGGCAAGCACTCAAAAAGCCTTCCCCAAGCCAGCTCTCAAAAAGCCTTGCCCCAGGCAAGCACACAAAAAAAAGCCTTGCCCCGCGCAAGCATTCAGAAAGGCCTTGCCCCAGGCAAGCACACAAAAAAAAGCCTTGCCCCGCGCAAGCACTCAGAAAAGCCTTGCCCCAGGCAAGCACTCAGAAAAGCCTTGCCCCAGGCAAGCACTCAGAAAAGCCTTGCCCCGCGCAAGCACTCAGAAAAGCCTTGCCCCGCGCAAGCACTCAGAAGAGCCTTGCCCCAGGCAAGCACTCAAAAAGCCTTGCCCCAGGCCAGCACTCAAAAAGCCTTGCCCCAGGCAAGCACTCAAAAAGCCTTGCCTCG